ACCACTCGGTTAAAAATCACATGTCTCCGATCTGCTCCAATAGAAGAGTTCATCTCCCTGTCTACCCAAAACAGAAGCTGATAACGACCTATAATTATCTAGGAAGGAACAGGGGCAACTGTCGTTCCGAGTTCTCTAAATAGTCGTCGGGGACTGTCTCAAAACTGCGTCGAAGGGTTGAATAATACAGAGCTCGCTTCGTTTTCTACGCTGATCTGCCAACGCAGCAATTTATCTTTTCTTCGACGTTACCATGATATATATAATGGCATTCCTCTTGTAGGAAGACACCACTTACCGTTGCATAATACAACATTCCAGGGCGGCACGAGCGTGGAATAAGACATTGGTGGACACTGCGGAGTTAAATGAACCAAATCTCAGCTTCCAAACGAAACTTCAATCGCGTGAGTTTGAATCACCCTTCTTGCTATTTAGCGCAATATTTATATTATATTAAGATTGCAAAATCCCAATACCGAATATCAATTTGAATTGCAAAACTCGAGAGAGGAGAATGTAAGATTCGTTAAAAAAAATGCGACGATTGAAAGTGCTCGCTCGGAAGGTGGCAACCCTAACTCCAAATCTGTAGGAACGGATACATAAAAAAGGCGGTTTCACAGGAGGCATAACCGCAACGTTTATGCGCCGGATTTCATAGGGGAAGCATCCTTTTGGTTCTGGGCAAGGACCCCTGGATGTCTTGTGTCCTGATTACGGAGCATTGTTGTTCGTAGTGGGTCCAAAAGCCTTGACGAACACGACGCGATAGGCTAACGTCTGGTTTCCCTTTCCACCAGATCTCCGACATGTCGCCGTCATGCGGGTGCGCCGGCACGTAATAATTAATCCGACGTACAATTTATTACGCCCCCTCGCTTCCTGGTTCGTCGATTAAGGAATCGGAGCAGGAAGAGAGAAGGCGATGTTTGGCTCACGTGGATTTTCCTGAATTTCTCGCCAAGTCTATTAATATTCTAAATAATGTGTGCTCGTGACGAGAACTGCTAAATAATTCCTAGAATCAAGGTCTCTTCTGACGAAACGTTGTCGTCGACTGTATTCAACGTTTTGTTAAAAAGGTTTCTTTCCATCTATCACTATTATTATTCCTTATTATTTATCTATCAATGTTTGTACTGTGTTATAATAATGAACACACAGTACATAATAGAGAAAACAAGGTGAAAGGGCGAGGTCAAACCTAACCCTGGGTCGCCAAAAATTGTACTTTTACATTTCATAGAAAGAAACATTTATTACCGTGAGCTCGATCTAAACTAGTTTCATCGACCTTTAAGCATACGAAATGCTGGTCCAGGCAGTAAGAAACGGAGGAAGATGCGCCAAATTGATTCTTTCATTTGTTCGGCCTTATAGGGCTCTCGTTCAGATGCTAATTCTCCCTACTGTCAGACGCAGATTTTTTTACACCCCCAAGGCCAACATTCCCCCTCTCCCTATTACACAAGTTCGTAGCACGCGACTGACAAGAGTGGTAGAAATGTTACCACGTAACACCTATTTCGACGCAAATGTCACATAAAAATATATGTTTCTAAACGAAGAGTATTAACAATTGTTAATGTATACACTTTTTGTATTTGTATAGTATACATTTTGTTTAGAGTAGTGCTTTGAGTATTAGAGTAATACTGAAAACTGTATTCGACTAAATTTTCGTGCATTATTAACCCTTTGCACTCCAAAGTACAATGATAGATATCGTAGATTACAAAAGTGGAATATTAAACTGACGATGGAGGACAATTGTAGACTTAATCGACCTTGTATTCGGGCCAATGAGTGGACGTAAAGGATCTGACCTTCTTCTAAAAACACGAAGGCTTTTACGCCATGAGAATGATGGGACAAAGGAACAGTTTCGAAACTGCACTTCGCGATGTTCGTTCGCGATTGTGACTTTTTACATACGCGATGTAACGATATTTCGCGTATTCGGAAAATCGAATCGTAGATCGCCTGTTATAACGGGTTGAGATCGATCGATCGATAGATGTTTCGATGGAACGTCGAGTACGTTTTATCGAGACTGGTTCGAATAAAAGCTGGACGCGTACAAGAAAGGCGGAACTACGGGCCGCCGCACCGGACGTTGCGAGGTCCTGGAACGCAGGACAGGTCCGCAGGTTCCAGAAGCGTAACGAAAAGGTGGAACGCGATTTCGTACGTGTTGTGTGAAGGTAGGACAGGGATCGTCGTGGAAATCAGTCCGCGTCGCGCTGGATCGAATTTCTTTAAAACGAATCTTGTGGTTTCGAGTCTCATTACTCGTGCGGAGAGAACGTAGACGCGAAGAGCGCGCAAAACTATAGTAAAGCGATAGTATGAGAGTCAAAAATGTTATACAAACGTAATTTGCACATACTTTATATTTGGAGATGTATCAAATTAATGAAGAATGGATCGGGAAATACTTCTGCCCTCGTCTATTATCATTTTTGTTCTCGAACGTATAAAAATGACAGTATGGATTATAATGGACAGAACAAAACTGTGTAAAATAGTAGATAGCGATAACATTATACGTGGACTAATAAGATAGCGTTGTTTACGTTCATAGTATCTATTAACTGAACGATAAGACGTTGACATTGTCTCGATCATTGCACGCGATCATTTCTCGCATTTCGCGCCACTTACGTAAAGCTGTGCGGTAACCAGAAAGCCGCAAGTGCTCACGCATGTACGGGGACTCTTCCTACATTCGGTCAATACGGACGAAAAAGTTTGACCAGAATGCATTTTATTCTATACCGGTTCCAACGTCCAGTGAAGATCGAGAGAACAAAACATCTTGGAAGCTTCTGGTGCAGCCATTATCTTATCGAGCCAACGATAAGTCGAAAGTCTCTGTGACCAGACTGCACCGAGATTAGAACAAGTTCCAAATACTTCCAATTCGAAGGAGACGTTCTTTGACATTTTTATTTGTTATTTATTCAATGTCTCTTTAGTCCGATTTTAAGCAACCCAGAGGTCGGTAAACCGGCAGAGAACGGGATTAAGTGGCTCCGCCAGGGTTACAGCGACCCGTGTACACTTTTTCGTCCACACATTTTGAGACGCCCGCAATGTGCGACGCCCTGGCATTCGGGGTTCTCACAGAGAATTCTCGGTTCCAGCGACAAAAACTGCGGGACGCGCGGACAAAGATAAACTCTCGACTCCCCGTCGATAGACACCGAAAAGCCAAAAGAGCCCACCGTGCATCGGGGACAGTGTTTTTTAAAGAAACGAAACATTTATTTTTTCACGCCTTCGAGGAAGGCAGATTTCGTACGGCGAGGTGTAAATCAACGGGAGCGCCGTCGGCTTTTTCACGGATCCTCGACGCGAACGGGCCAGGATCGCGAGAATCGACGTGTAAAAATATTCACAGCCAATGGCCAGAATCGGCCCGCGTATATACCGTCGCAGATGGCCTCACCAAGAAACTAACGGAAGAAGTCAACCGTTCGCGGCGACCTTTGTGCACCCACGTGTGAAGCGGGTCAGGCAAACGCAAACAATGAAACCTATGCGTATCGACGCGCGTATTATTCAACAGGCGGCCATTTTATTTAACATCCAGAGCCCCAGAAACTGGGATACCGACAATAATGCAAACCGCGCGCTTTTTAAATGCAGCGACCTTAATTTATGGTAGGCGATACGCGCGCGGCGCACGATTGACCTTAATTTCGATAGGATGACGTGAAAACGATCCGAAATTCCGCGGGAGGGTGAACGCGAGGAAATAATTATTTGAATAACAAACGACTATTTATGTTATTTTCATAAAATTATTCATAACCAAACGAAAAAAGTTTCTCTGCGTCATTAATATACACACTTGGCGAGTTTAAAAATTGCGAATCATCGACATGGACGATCGTCGGTATTCAGATTTTGTAACGCGCGTGTAAGAATTTGCATTCGAGCGGGCGTATCGTATAGGGGTTCTCTTCTGTTTCCATGCAGATGTCGAGAAAAAGTGCCCTCCCTAAACATCTTGTCGGGATGAAGGGCCTCCGGGAGAGAGAGTCATGTTTCTGTCCGCGCAAAAAGGGATGCGAAACCGCACGACGCGGGATGAAACACGGGAACACGGATCGTGAGAATCTCACCCTGCCCTGGAAACCTGACTTTATTCCCACAAAAATAAACGCCGTGAACGTTTCGGAACCGACCCGTCCCCGCGATCGTCGCGACGCGTTTCGTTCACGTGGCTCTCGATGGTGCATTCTTTTCCATCGACGCACGTTTTGTTTGCATAACCGAAACCGCGGTTATTTTCGGAGCAAGTGTAATCGAGCGACAGAGTGCGTCAGAAATAATCGTGGATTAAACACACGTCCCGTCGATGGATCCCATTAGCTCGGCCACGCAAGGACACACGTGGTCCAGCTGTTAATAAGCGCGGGGAACTGTTTTGTTCTCGTTTTCACGAAGTCTCTCCTGTTCTCCTCGTTGGCTTCATTAAGCGAACGCGTCATTGCTTTTTGTACCCACCCGCGTGGCTTTCGACCTTTCACCGGGTCAGAGTCACCGCAAATTTCATTCCCGAACTAATGAAAATTTTAGATTCGTTGCTTAAACCAATTTTAATTAGTCTGGATATCGGCTTAAAAAATCCGTATAAATAATACTTTTCATCCGGTAACTGCTTCTTATTGATATTGATCAGATTTTTACTAATTATTTGCAGGAAACCTTCAAACAAATTCGAAACGTTTCAACCATCGACGATAGATGCGACTTCCGTGCAAATCTAAATAATGATAATAAACTCGAAGTCGAAGGCGAATAATTCTGAATTTGAAACTAATAAAGTAGGTTTGCCTAAATAATTTATACGCACGATTAAAATTAAAGGTACAATAAATAAATGGTAAACTTTATTTCGCGGTTATCTGAATTATTGGTAGAGCAAGGATTGATCGGTTTTCTGTGGAGTTTTTCTGTGAATCTGAAAAAGATTTTTCTCGACTCACCTGTTGCGGGTTGGCATCGACGGGAGAGAAACTCGAAAGGGCGGTTAGGGGTGCGAGCGAAGCGCACGAAGACGCTCTCGAAGGCGGCGGCGTGTGACCAGGAGTTGGACTTCCGCTTCCGCAACTGCTCGCACCCCCGCTCGAGGCGAGACTCACGCTGTCCGCTCGCCCTCTCCACGGCGAGACTGACACGTGCTTCAACATTCCTCTGATCTCACCTAAAAGTAGAATTTCATTTCTTCCTTACTATATTTTTTTTATAAATTATCATTAAGGGAAACAAATGGTGGTTTCCATCGCAAAAGGAAGAACGACATCCACGTAAACGTACTCTTTACGATAGATCGAGCGAATCGATACTCGATTTTTCGCTACAGGAATCGATTTGTGTTAGAATCGGACGTATAGGAATCAATTTTCTAGCAAATCGATTCCGAATCGAGCATCCCTGCTTCGGACGCGAGAAACATGCAACGACTAACAAGAAACTCGAAAACAGGTTAACACCGATCCCAGGCGAAATTCTTGCTCCGATTTCTGTGTTCCTACGTGATTCTATTTCGGAGTCATAGCGTGGCGAATTCGAGTAATACGACTGTAACGTTCGCTTAAAATAGAAACGTCGCTCGGCAGGTAGCTTCTTCTTTTTCCCTCGTCAAGGTTGCTAGAAGAACTAATCGTAGCGAAGGCCGTCCGATAATTAACGGGGAGTGCCGTGATTGGCCAAGTGAGTAGGCGTAAAAAGTCCGGTGCAACAAATCGCGAAAAATGTTGATTTTATATTTTTGTTTACCTATATAGCAAATGTTATTACTGGTCCAAATTTTGGAAACAAATTTCATTTTAATTTAATGAACCTGCTCGACTCGGGCAATGGATTTCAGAGATACGACAATTTGTTGATATAAAATGTTGCTTAATAACGGAAGGTCAAGTGTCGATAATGTAGCATCGAAGTTAAATCAACTAGAATATTGATAGATATTCAGTAAAATAGTCAAATGCAATACTATAATATTTAATGTTAGTAAATATTTCGTGTTTCTCAGAAGAATATTTGTGACCTTGTGACAAGAAGCTTTATTTTGATAAAAATCGAAGGGTGTCCCTAAGCTTTGAAATATAAAAAAAAGCTTGTCCAATCTACGATGATTATAAATTGTAACTGCTATAAGGAGAACTGTCAATCTTCGAGTCGCGAAAAAACGTTGACAGGCGAAACCAGGACGCCTGTACTCGCGCAGGAAAGCAAAGGGAGCCCTTCGTAGTCGCGTAAACACCTAAATACACCACAGCTGCATGCCAGAAGCCCGAGCGTTAAACATTCGCGAAGTGCGCCGGACGTTCGACGTGCATCTAGCCAGAAGTCTACGTGCCCCGATTGTTGAATATCTTTCTAATGAGGAAGCACAGCGAAAAAGGTAACTATTCCCACACCGTTAACTGTTCGCTTCCCAATAACAATAATTGCCCAACGTCTCGTCGTTCTAAACTGACCTCTAGGCGCTGAGTTCGACGATAACGTGTGTAAACTGTACTCTGACTTCGGTTCTATTAAAAAATTATTTTACGTAATGGAAAATCGTCTTATACAGATAAAAATTTCGAATTATCTGTTTACCATGCTAGTTAAACAAAAATAAAATATTTCATCATAAAAATGATATATTTCACAACGATGAAACGAATCCGAATAAAATTTTGCCTACTCCTGAGATCGATGTTGGGCAAATTTTTATTATATAAAATTGGACCGAGACGGACGCATCGATGACAGTGAGCCAGCGTAATTAAAATGCATACTCACTTTTTACGTATTCACAGCTGAGTGCAACCCGCACTCGCGGTTCGGTGCGTAACGTCAATGCGCGGGAATCATGTTTACACTTGGCGAACAAGCGGCATTGAGTACATCCGATCGAACCGTCAGACACCGACAAATTATATCCTTGAGCAATGTTAGACGGACCACTGGCGATACGGTCACTGTCAGTTACGATTCTCCACCTCGCAGGATCCTTGAATTTGATCCTCGAGAAGAGGTCGAAGCACCGAGCACCACGCGAATGAAAGATCGTCTTACGGACCTAAAATCGCCGATTGGTTCCGATCCTACGCGAAGCAAGTGTTCTTCGTTAAACGCGATGGAATATCAATAACGATTCCGTACGATGTTCGGCGAACGAACACGCTTTTGACGAGCGTTCAAAACACCGCGAAGTACACCACGTTCCGCACTCTACGAGCGCTACGCTACGACTGAAGCGGACGCGTGAGGCGAGGAGTAATGTCGGCGTAGTAAGCGAGCTGTGGGCGCCCCGGAGGAAAGAAAACGACCTTCCTGGGGAGTGCACGAGACGCTGTTCAACGCTCGGTGAATGTTCGAACGAGTTCTGTTCGATCAGGGTTGCGATTAGGGCTGAGACTATTCCCCGGAATCGGGAAAAATTTTATTCACGAAAAGGATAAATTTTAAATTCGTTCCTAAGTGTACTTAAGATACTCATGGCAATGATTTGCTAGCGAGTAAAAATTAATTTACGAACGAGAGTAAAAGTTTTATATCTTATTCTTATCAAAAGTTCTACGATTTTGATACAAACTTTGTCACATTTATCCACAATGTGGCGTCCTCCGGAACTCTACAATTGTGTTAGCGTCCGCAATATTCAAGTGTATGCGTAGCTACAACACACGCTGAACGCTTCCTGCGATAAAGCGCGCACTGGATTGAATACGTTCTTGTTTTCCATCATAAAGTGAACTATTTTAAAGTTGTAATAAATAGTAGTTACAACGTGCATGTTTAAATTATATATTGATATAAAACTGATTGGTTCGAGGCGTCTAAAATGCATGAGTAACGATCAAAAGTACGATCGTTAGATCAGAGATAATGTTTATTTTATGCATTTAAAGGTAATTAATATCTGCTAATACAAAGAGAATAATTTTTTTGAATTATCGAATTGGAGACTAAATATTTGACGTAAGTCAATTCGATTACACGAGTTTTATCAAGAGATTCCCTAGCAGGATACTTCGTTTAACAATTAAAATTCCGTAAACGCTGCAAGTGGCATCCTAAGCGAGTAAATTACAATGTCTTCTTCGGAAGAACAAGCCCCAACTATTAATAAACGTCACACGTGACGCTAGGAACGCTTGAAATACGCATCGAACCCGTGATAAAATACATATGTCCATAGTTTTAATTTTGTATTAGTTATTCCATGTGCAGAAGAATCGAATGAGGCAGGATCGGAGTCGATGGGAATCCTGTGTGTGCAAGGAACCTTAGACTAGACTAGAATACTCCGTTAAGGAATAATGGAATAATATTAACCCTCGAGTCGTTTAATTTAAAGTCAATCGACTTGGTTCGATGATGCTTTGATCAAAAATGAATTTCATATTTTTATGAGTGCCTTTTGTCGAGCATATGTTACAGGAAACACAGTACGTTGGATCTTTCCCGCGTCTGATAAACACCTACGCGGTAGTCGCAACTCGCACGCGTCGAGCGAGCCACGACGACGACTTATCTTGGACACGAAAATTTCGTCGTCGCCGCGATGGAGGCGATATTTTATTTATGCGCCTGTACCTGTCAACGGCCAAGAAAAAAAAAACGAAAGGCACGCTTCCTACGTGATCGCCCGTAACGCGAACGCATGGGCGTCGACCGTTCTTTCGAGCAAGAAGGGCCCGTGGACGACTGTGCGAAGGAAAACGAGAGACTCGCGTGGGAGCGACTAACGAATTAATTTAATAGTGTCCATTGAAGGAAGATTTTTATTTGTTGCCACAACAGAATCAATGTTTCCTTTTTTTTGCATTTTTGAAAACATACTCCAAAAATCCATGAAGACCGTAGAAATATTAAAAAGTAACAGAAATATTGTATCTCTTATTCTTTATATTTTACAGACACAATTTTCAAACGAAACTATCTTTCATCGCATGCGTTGCGTAGTAACACCTATAATCACGAAACGTTCGAGCGAGCAATAAACGCGCATTTTACAGATCGAGAGATTGGAAATTTAAGAATAAATAATATTTTGCATTTTCAACGTCCATGATACCATCTAGATTCAATCTCCGTTATACAATGTACAGACGCGATACCTCAAGCAAAAGATGAACGAAAGTTATGCGTTTTGCTTTCATTCCGGAAGCAACGAGAACAATTTCCTCTTGGTTAGTGATAATGTTTTTACTCATTTCTTTCGCGGAAAACATCCAGGTTTCTTTTCGATTGAAATCCTTCCGATATCTGCATAACGCGAAACGATCTCACGCGTTCGAAAATGGTGATGGATAAAACGTATTTGAATCCATTAAATTGCTTTCGTGCTACTTAAATTAATATTTAGTATTTTTCGCGTAACTTCGAGGAAGGGAAACGACACGACGCGTGCATGGAACTAGTTAGACGGCACTTGCTGCCGGATACACAGGTAAACAGGGACGATGGGAAAACCATCGTCATACCTGAGTGGGATTCGCATTGCGAAGGGACGCGCAGTATCATAGAACGGCCGAAGTAATTCGACGCGCGTCACGGGCATAAATGCAGGTGCAACCATTAGAAATGTATCAAACAGGATCTTTGAAAGTGATACCTTTCACGAGCCGTGTCTGGAAATGTAATCGGAATGGGCATCTGGTCCGCGAGCGGCAAATTACGTTCGTTCTTGAAATTTTAATCGACTTATCCGGCTCGTGCTCTCTTTCCACATAGCCGTTAAACGGGAAGAAAACGAATTACCATTAATTGGCAACATTCCCTTCCTATTTCGGTTGTGTTTTTGCGCCAGCCGGGGTCGAAGCCCCGCCGCGCGGGAAAAACAGTACGATTCGAACGGCGGCAGGCTCAAAAGCAACACTCCTACCGATCTCAACCCTCTAAACGGCGCAACATGAAAGTCGTGGGTCTCAGCCACGCGTGATATCACGATATACCGTTCGTGCAATACGCGTGCCTTTTGTCGCGAACAACGAGACCCCTGTAAAGTATCCCTCTTCCACCTACGGCGGTCTGGCTTCGTTCACAGCGATCTCGAGGAGAAAATTCAATTAGTCCCGGCAGTCTAGATCGCCCTGGGTCGCAGCTGCAATCGGCAAATAACTCTTTACCACGTGTAGCGAATAACCGACAATGCGAAAAGAACCGTCGAGAGGGCGACTCCCGGGTCACTGGTTTCACACACGGATGCCTGGAGTACTATGATTAGCGCGTGAACTGCTATACCAAATTGCCCATAAAAACGAAACTTTAAATTTTACACAATTGGAAACCAGCATACCCACGATTTGTCGTAGAATTTATTTTTATTTATTAGCATCCTAATGAAAAATCGTGTCACTCGTATGTGGGTGGCACAGCAGTCAATGCGTTAATAATAGATTTCTATTTAAGGTCCTTGGACTATCGAGTGTTTTCTACGAACTGCTATCAAACAATTAAAGATTAAATTACGTTGGTCTTCTATCGCTCTGTGTTATGAAACGAATTTTACAGATACTGTATTGTATTACAAACGCGGTTCATTTAAGATCATAATTCTTGCGCTAGAGCTATACGAGCCAACAATTTTGTTCCACAAAACAAAGGAAAGTATCTAATGGCATCTCGAAATAGGGTTTTGGTAGATTCTTCTTCTGAATAATTGTCTAGAGGGGGAACTCGGCCAGAACGAAGGCAGAAAGCAAATGACGGAACCACGGTGGTCAGCCACTTTATCCTCGTGCACGCAGCGAACGGCGTCGAGCACCATGAGCACGGCTATACGGCTATGGGAGTTTGGCAGCGTCGGGTCCAGCCCCGTCGGGTCTCATGGTGTTGCGTTACTTTCCCACAGGCGAGTCCCTCTCTTGGTGTGCAATTCTCTCCAGGCTGCGTGGCGCGTACGCCCACCGTGTGCACCTGCACACGCACGCAAAAGCGCACAGGTTCGCGAATAGAACGCAGGCAGACGAACGACGGCCGTGCATCGGCCGTGCACAGAACGAAAACTGCCGGCCAAGGGAGAATTGAAAGAACCGAGAGAGAAGCACGCGTCTCACCTTGCAAGGCGAACCTGTTCGCCGCTGCCGAAACCAAATCTCGCCGTAACCGAGTGTTACCACCTGAAAATAAGGTAGTCGGGATCTTTAAATTTCGAGCGACAGGACTCCGCTGGAAGCTGAACGTCGAAACGGGACGAAAAGTCAACCACCGTGCGTGAGATGGAACGGTAATAATAGCGTACCATGCCACGACGAACTTTCCCGTCCGACAAAATTCCATGTTTCTTCCGTATGATACCAGAAATCAGTAAAACGTGATGTTTCGAGGCGAGAATTTTTCTCTTTTTTGTGTTTGTAAAGAAGCAAAATTACATCCTGGAAGGAGAACAGTTTGTGCAGGGGTCTTTTAGGACCTTCTAGACCTGAGTTTAACAATTATGAGGGTTTCTAGTATTCCGAATGTTAGTAGCATTATTCTAGAATTTACAAGTATTGAGGTTTATTTATGACAAGCATTTCAAAGACACGCAGGTTCGAATAATTTAAAGATGTGTATACAACTTGTGCTCGCATTGTTCAAGGCAAACGCGTCAGGTGCCCCGAGAAAGGCACCTTTTCTCGAAGATCAATGAACGTTCGACAAAGGACGATCGATAGGATTTAATGTCAATCCTCCGCCGCAGCGAGGTCCAGCTTCCGGTCTGCGTGACGGGGCCCGTTTCCGGGACCGTTTCGTGCTGCATGCATTCAAAGGGACCCCACCATCGAGTGGTCTCTTTAACCATGGTCACTGACGAGTTCGACTCGTTTCCCATGGGTGTTGTTTTCGTCCCGTAACAGTACACTAATCCGATAACGCAGGCGCTACACCGCCGTGCAATTTGTTCAAACATCGTCGAACCAAACACGAGCGTTCGATCGCTGAAAAATTATGTTTTCGAGGTCTTCGTCTTCGGGGTAAAATGGGACTCGCATTCCTCGCGGACAAGCGCGTAAATATTACTGTACACCGCGCATCCTGTTTGGCGCAACAAGTGGCGCAAGAAAGTCGGCGCGCTGGGGCCCAAAAAATTTAAAGTGGATCGAGGGAAGCTTTGCTCGATATCTTTCAATTACGTATCCCGCGGCACTCTTGTTGCAACAAGATTCGCTGACGGCATCTAGTTCACGAGATAGTTCTTCGATGAGTTCTTCATTCCCATGAGTGTTGCTTTCATTGCCGGAGCG